AAGTTACTGCTCCCATCAAAACATGCTTAAGAAACTTGGCAAACTCACATGCCATAAGCGAAGTTATAAAAATGACCCCAAGGGAAAGTGCCCTTCTTTGTGATACACATAAGAGTATTCCTTCTGAAATGCTTGGGGTCAGAAGTATTTCAGATTTTGAATTTTGGAATATTTGCATATATATGATGAGATATCTTGGGGATGGGAACCACATCTGAACATGAAATTCATTTGTTTCATATATAGCTTATATACATAGCCCAAAGGTAATTTTATATAATATTTTACATAATTTTGTTAAGGCCTCATACATGGAATTTTCCACTTGTGGCATCATGTTGGAGTTCAAATGGTTCAGATTTTGGAGCATTTCAGACTTTCAAATTAGGGATGCTCAACCTGTAACACACCACACAAAATGAATGGGAAAATGAAATCTCATTAAGAAGCATATGAAGTTAAAACATCTAATGGGTCCAATACCCCTTTCAACATATCACCACTAATGTGTTTCCAGGGATGTAATCAAGCAGATTATTATTTGAAGAATCTTCTGGGTGGGAGCAATGAAAAGGTTAAAAATACAGCCATAGAAAGGGATCATCTGGGCCGGGCGTGGTGGCTCACGTCTGTAAGACCAGCACTTTGGGAGGCCGAGGCGGGCGGATCACGACTCAGGAGATCGAGACCATTCTGGCTAACAAGGTGAAACTCCGTCTCTACTAAAAAATACAAAAAAAATTAGCCGCGCCTGGTGGCAGGCGCCTGTAGTCCCAGCTACTTGGGAGGCTGAGACAGGAGAATGGCGTGAACCCAAGAGGAGGAGCTTGCAGTGAGAGATCCCACCACTGCACTACAACCTGGGTGACAGAGCCAGACTCCGTATCAAAAAAAAAAAGATCATCTGTCATAACTGAATTCTATACATGTAAAAATAAAAAAATTTTTTTAAGTTCTATCAAGAAACCATCTACATTTCGCAGTACAGTGGGAGAAAAAGGCCCCACACAATCTTTCTCTGATGCAAGGAGGAAAAATGCCGTGCACACATTCCATGGAGAGGTTTCCCTCAGGGCAGTCCTCACAGGCACCAGGCCTCATGACACAGCCAGCACTTGTGCTACTGCGACCCCCTAAAAAATGGCCGGCAAGTCACGCTTATCATATCTCACCCTTCAAATCAAGACAGTAAGTCCAAGACAGGAGGCACTGCAGCTTTTCCCGTCCTCTGTGGTTCCTAAAGAAGCTACTTCTTGCCTGCTCTCCATCCCAGAAAGTGACACAGAAATATTTTAGTCACCCTCTCTACTCAGTATTTTCCTTTACATCAATAGATTTTTTTTAAAACAGATCCCAGCTTAGAAATAATGCTACAAGTTTGACTGTTTTTCTAATCCAGCAAATGACCCAACAAAAGACATTCTGGACAACAGCTCAGTGGAAATACATTTTCAGAAATGCTCAAGTTTTACTGACAGCTGTGATAAACTGTGGTCGAGGCAACTAATAATTTCTTTAGAAGGAAAAAGAGCACAGGTAAAAGCTGGAAAGCAGTGAGATTAGGATGAGTTTAGAAAACATTCTGTTCCTAAACAAGCACGCTCACAATAAACAGCCAAGTGCAAGACAACAAGAGACAATGTTCTAGCAATGGTGAGCAACGTCTAACCTTGTATAAGCTCTGGGCAGAGAAAAATGGACCCTGGCGCTGTTCTGGTTATTGTGAACAATCACACTCCACAATGACAGCATGTGCTCATTATGTGACAGAAAATATGCTATGGACTTCAAATAAAGTCAGATTTAAGCCACATCACATTATCATCCCCATTTAACAGCTGAATTGAGGCAGAGAGTTTCAGTAACAAGCTCAAAGTAATACAGCCACTAAGTGTGCTTAAAGTATCAGTTAAAATATTTTAAGTGTACCAAACATTTTAGGCTTTAAAAATCACTGAGGATTTTAACTATTACACTATTTCAGTTAGGGAGAATATGACCATAGATGAGTCATGCTGAGTGTTTAAGTGATTTGGAATTGAACACTTGAGTCTGGAGCAAATTATGAAATATCCAGCTATCCCGATGCTTAAGGCATACCACACACACTTTAACACAAGTTTTAGTCTTTTCTTCAGTCAGAATTTTAACATTTCCAAAATGATGTATTATGTTTCTAGTGTAGAATAACAAATACAGTTGGGAAACTATTTTAATTGTATATAGGAGGAACTAAGGAGAAACAGTGACATTAAGGTTGATCGGTCCTTCTGTTGCAGCATATGGTATTAGAAAGGTACGTGGGGCTAGCTATCATTCCAGTCTGCGTGAAATGCACGCTACAAATCAGAATGAGGGTATTATATTTGGATGAAAGGCGTAAACTCTTGCTTGAAGCTCTACTTTTGACAGTAGTCTACTACTGAAATCAGGTTCCCTAGGTGAGTTGAGCAGAAAAATTATCAGCAATGGGAAGAAAAGCTCTGTGTGTCAGAACCTCTAGAATAGTGCTTTTGGGAGTTAGCTGTATTATTTATATTGTTTGGATAGCAACTGAAAACACAGTCCAAAAGCACCTTGCTTTGTGAAGGAAAAATAATGAAGTGTTTCATCCACAAGGAAAGAAAGTGGGTCACAAAATATAGGAAAAAGGTCTCTCTTTGGGATACATTCTGTTGGTACTAGGTATCTGTTGCTGTAGAAGTACAATATCCTCTATGTCATGATGCTTGCTGGTCACAGAAGGAGGGCACACTGAGCTGAAATGTCTCACTTAGAGAGCCTTCCTGGCCTTTTCTGGCTACTGAGTGCTAGCATTCTGGCTTATCAAATTCACTGCAAACTATTCAATTGTAATTTCCATTCTATACAAGCCAAACCTCTAACTCAAAGCCAAATTTAAAAAAAAATCAAAACAAGCAAAAACAGGAAAAGCTATTTCTGTCACAGTTCTGGGGGACACATCTTTGAAAATAAGTCTTCATTAGACACCTTTTGTCAAGTAGGCTAGATTTGTACTTGAAATATTAATTACATGAAAACAAGAAAAAATTTAACAGAATCATTCATTATGTCTTTCTCTCTCTCTCTTTTTGTTTTGAGGCAGTGTCTCACTCTATCACCCAGGCTGGAATGCAGTCGTGCCATCACAGCTCGCTGCAGCCTTGACCTCCTGGGCTCATGATCCTCCTGCCTCAGCCTCTGAAGCAGCCGGACTACAGGCATGTGTCACCATGTCTGGCTAGAATCATCCATTATGTCTTAATTCCACTGTGAAAATTTTAAAAATTAGGATTCCAGTAAGTCATGAAGTGAGATGGAACATCCCATAAATACAGGGCATCTGCTTCTCAACTCTTAAACTGAATTATATCAGGGAATAATGAGGAAACCCCAGAAACACCAGGAGAATGTGTTTATTTCCTTGGCTTCAGCCTCCAAGACACATGCTCTTTCAGCAAAGAACATAATGTATCACTCACTCCACTCCCTCTTTGATGAGAATTTAATCTTTATATCCAGATTCCACACAGCAACTACTCATAAAAAAATCAACATTTAAAAAATAAAAAATGAGGCTTCTCAAAGAACAAGTTGCTTTGTGACAAAACAACACTGATCCAATCCAAGTATGTTTCTGAGCATCGCAAGGCCCTGTGCTTATGGGTGCCATGACAGCTCTGCATAACTTCCATCGCCAGTTGATCTGAACCTGCATACAGGTCCACTAACCCCTTTCAGATGTAATCCTACCGGCCCTCACAGAACTAAATCTCTGTCTCAGACTTGCTTTGTCCTTCTTGAGCTTGACATTGTTGAAAAGCTCAGGTCAGTTACTGTGCCAGTTTTCTCCACTGACAAATTCATGAAAGACAGGGATCAACTGAGGAACTTTTTAGATTAAAGAGGTCTAAAGAGACATGACAACTTAATTCAATATATGTTCTTAGACTGAATCTTGGACCCAGAAATAAGTGAGAAAATTTGAAATCTGAATAAGGTGTGCATATTAGATAACATAATTTTATTGACATTAATTTCCTGATTTGGATAATTATACTATGGTAATATAGTATTATCATAGTATATAAGAGCATAAGGTACTCTTATATACTAATGCTAGCACTCAGTAGCCAGAGAAGGCCCGTATATGGTACTCATATACTATGGTAATATAAGAGAATATCTTTGTTTTTAGGAAATATACACTAAATTAGAGGTGAAGGAGTGTTACGGATACAACTTACTCTCTCAAATGCTTCAGAAAAAATCTTTAAGGGGAGTGACAAAGAGAGGGGGAGAGGCCAGTGAAACAAGTATTCTAACATATGAAGACTAGAAGTGAAGAATACATGGGAATACTTTGTACTATTTTTGCAATTTTTTTTCCCCAGTGAACATTATTTATAACTATTTTTCAAGTCCAAAATTACTTCAAAATAAAAAATGTTTAAAAACTGTGTCTGGCTGGGCGCGGTGGCTCACACCTGTAATCCCAGCACTTTGGGAGGTCAAGAGGGGTGGATCACGAGGTCAGGAGATTGAGACCATCCTGGCTAACAGGGTGAAACCCTGTCTCTACTAAAAATACAAAAAATTAGCTGGGCGTGGTGGTGGGCGCCTGTAGTACCAGCTACTGAGGCAGGAGAATGGCATGAACCCAGGAGGTGGAGCTTGCAGTGAGCCAAGATCGCACCACCGCTCTCCAGCCTGGGCAACAGAGCGGGACTCCATCTCAAAACAAAAAACAAAAAACAAAAAAAAAGTGCCCACAAATACAATAAACTTAATGTATTATGGATATTTTTAGGTAGCAAAAGGAGGAAGATCTCATGATGAACTCTATGTCACCTTTTCTGTTTAAGTGCTAAGCCATTCATTCAAAGCAGCAGCAAGCAAATTTTCGCAGGTAATGTTATTAGGCCTTAAAGTGAGAAAAATAATAGGAACAGTGGTTAAGATTTAATATATTTAATTTTTTAAAAAAGTAGTATACTCACTGTCCAATCCAGGATGGCTGATTGTCATTAATGAGATGGATTTTGTCAATGGAGAGGAAATGGCGGATGTACAGTAATTAAATCCCTGCTGCTTAGATCTGTGACATATCTGTGAAGTAAAAGAGTAAAGAACAGGTTGTAAGCATATGCTCTCATATTTCTAGGTAAGCATAAAACCTTATAATTAGACCTACATAGTAAAATAAGGCAGTACAGAAGGGGGTGAGAGCACAGGCCTTGTGGTCAGACAGACATAGGTTAAAGTCTGCTCCTGCTACTTAACAGCTGCTCAATTTCAGAAAAGTTACTTAGCTTTTCTGAGGCTTAGTTTTCTCATCTGAAAATGGGGATCATTAGAGTATCCATTCTTTACAGTGGTTCTGTATCCCTCACAGCACCTAACAATGTTTCAAACTTAGTAAGTACTTAATAAATATCTGCTGGATGCATAATCACATAAAAATAATTTCACTGGAAATATCAAACTACATACAATACTTGTTCTTTGAAAATCTAAATACTCCTTCATACAGATATAGTAGAATATTGGTAACAGTATTCTGATTTTACTTTATTTATTATTATTACTTTTTTAGACAGAGTCTCACTCTGTCACCCTAGCTGATGGCATAATCTTGATTCACTGCAACTTCCGCCTACCAGTTCAAACGATTCTCCTGCCTCAGCCTCCTGAGTAGCTGGGATTACAGGTGTGCACCACCATACCCAGCTAATTTTTGTATTTTTAGTAGAGATGGGGTTTCACCATGTTGGTCAGGCAGGTCTCAAACTCCTGACCTTGTGATCCGCCCACCTTGGCCTCCCAAAGTGTTGGGATTACAGGCGTGAGCCACCACACCCAGCCTATTTTTATTTTTGAGACAGAGTCTCACTCTGTGGCCCAGGCTGGAGTGCAGTGGCATGATCTCGGCTCACTGCAATGTCCGCCTCCCGGGTTCAAGTGATTCTCCCGCCTCAGCCTCCTGAGTAGCTGGGATTACAGGCGCACACCACCATGCCCAGCTAATTTTTTGTATTTTTGGTAGAGACAGGGTTTCACCATGTTGGCCAGGCTGGTCTTAAACCCCTGAGCTCAACTGATCCGCCCGCCTCAGCCTCCCAAAATGCTGGGATTATAGGCGTGAACCGCCAGGCCTGGCCTCTGGTTTTAAATAATTGGAATATTGAGATTCAAGTAAAGAGTTTTAAGGTCACAAACAAAGCAACAATGTATCTGGAAAGAAGCCTAAATCGCTTCCCTATCCTCTTCTAAGATGATACTGATTCTACATGAACATAGAGGTAACTGAAATTTGACAATTTAACTCTCAGTAAATTCACAGCAGCTTTGAGACCATGTAATCCAACCACCTGTAGAAGTTCCTGGTACAATATCCCTAAAAGACAGTTGTCTAGTGTCCACTAGCACACTTCTGGTGATACGAGCCCATTCCTGGCCGGGCACGGTGGCGCACGCTTGTAATCCCAGCACTTTGGGAGGCCGAGGTGGGCGGATCGTGAGGTCAGGAGATGGAGACCACGGTGAAACCCTGTCTCTACTAAAAATACAAAAAAATTAGCTGGATGCGGTGGCGGGTGCCTGTAGTCCCAGCTACTCAGGAGGCTGAGGCAGGAGAATGGCGTGAACCCGGGAGGCGAAGCTTGCAGTGAGCCGAGGTCGAGATCGCGCCACTGCACTCTAGCCTCAGCTACAGAGTGAGACTCTGTCTCAAAAACAAAAAAAACCACACACACACAAAAAGAGCCCATTCCAATTGTTAACTGACTTTATCATTAATCCCTTCCCTTCACAGAATGAAATCTGCCTCCTTATGACTCACACATGTTGAAAGAGAAGCAATGAAAAATCCGTTACTAGCATGAACTTGACTCAATTAGGCCAGACTTCTGATTATTTAGAGCTTGTTTCATGTGTAACCATGGCAGCTGAGGTAAACAGTTGCTATGTTTCAAATACAACTGTGAGGTCTAAAAAATGACCTCAGTGAAAGGCAGAGACTTTTAACAGGAAGTTGGCTGCAGGCAACTCATCCAGATCAGAATGATACAAGCAGCTCAAATACCCACTCTGAGGTTCCACACAAGATAAAAACTATGGCTAAGTAGAGATTCCAGGAAGGCTAAGCATAGCAAGGCACTAAAACAACAACTTAATCTAGAAAGACTGAATCAGAAAGTCCGCTTCAGAAAGATAGTCCATTTTTAGAAACACATCAGTGGTAGTAATGTCTTACTAAAATGCAGGGTTATCTGTCAAATTTCTGGAAACATCCATCTCAGAAAATAAACAATATTAAGAAAATTAAATCATTCTTATTTCCTCATTAAAATTCACCTACTCCAAAACCTGGAAAGAAGCAGTGAAATTAACAGCCAGGAACTCTGAATTTAATACTGTTTAGCTAATAGCCACTTATACCACCTTAGGCAAGCCATTTAAATGAGCTTGAGCTGAATCTGAAAGGATATATGGGTCTTGATCTATGATTGTTTACAAATCCACAATTTTGGTATTTTACCTTACCTTGCACATGATTTCCAAAGGATTCTATACATTTGAAATGCACTTTATTTTAAAGATTTTGTTCACTGGTTTATTTACCCTTAGCAAAGCTGTGCTCAGTAGCCACCCAAGAATTGTTCCTATTTTTTCCTTCTTTTTTCTGTTACTGTTAGGCTGAGTAAATCTAAATCACTTGCTTCAACAAGCATATTCTTCATATTCTTATTTTTTCTCTTTCTGAAGTATCAGAACAAGTAAAAAAAATTTTTAAAGGGGCAAAATTTACTCTTCAACTGATTTTCATTATGCCTAAATCTCTTTATTCGTCTGGTCTCACACAAGCATAAGTGCTACAATAATTACTAAGATAATCCTTCAGTGTCAAGTTTATATTTGGTCATGTTAGTGCCTTGTAGTAGGATACAATAAAAAATTAAACTTCTACACAAAGTCCTACTCAGCAAATCAAGGAAGAGGTTGTCAACATTTTTGTTTAATTAGAAATGTATTATTAGATTTTTGCCCCAAACTCCAGTGATCTATTCAAAAAGAGTTTTTTTTTTTTAATTATAAATGTTTCATTTGGAGGAAATAAGATGTATCCCAGAATGCTTTCATAAATTAATCAAAGTCTCCTGGCCCAAGAGGAAGAGAAAAGACTTGCAGTAAGGTACAATGCTATAAAAGCATATCATTCAAATTCTCAAAACCTCCCCAAGGGATTGTCAAAAGTGGTAAGTGATAATGAGGACACCCAGAAGATGAGAACTAGGAAGTCACTTTGATTTGGCTGACAAGGAAATCCATGACCTTCAAGACAGGAGTTTCAAGAGAGTGACAGCAGCAGAAATTAAGATATGATTAGGTGGTGATAAAGAGAAGGCAAGGGCCAGGAGCAGTGGCTCAGACCTGCAATCCCAGCACTTTGGGAGACTGAGGCAGAAGGATCACTTGAACTGGGGAAGTTGAAGCTGCAGTGACCTGTGATGGCAACACTGCACTCCAGTCTGGGTGACAGAGTGAGACCCTGTCTCTAAATAAGTAAATAAACAAATAAAATTTTAAAAAGAGAAGGCAAGGAGCATAGATACTCTCTTAAGAATTCTGGTAGGCATCAGAGTGAACAGGCAACCTATAGAATGGGAGAAAATTTTTGCAATCTACCCATCTGACAAAAGATCTGGACAAATATCCAGAATTTACAAAGAACTTAAACAAATTTACAAGAAAAAAACAAACAACCCCATCAAAAAGTGGGCAAAGGATATGAACAGACACTTCTCAAAAGAAGACATTTATACAGCCAACAGACATATGAAAAAATGCTCATCATCACTGGTCATCAGAGAAATGCAAATCAAAACCACAATGAGATACCATCTTATACCAGTTAGAATGGTGATCACTAAAAAGTCAGGAAACAACAGATGCTGGAGAGGATGTGGAAAGATAGGAACGCTTTTACACTGTTGGTGGGAGTGTAAACTAGTTCAACCACTGTGGAAGATAGTGTGGCAATTCCTCAAGGATCTAGAACTAGAAATACCATTTGACCCAGCAATCCCATTACTGGGTATATACCCAAAGGATTATAAATCATGCTACTATAAAGACACATGCACACGTATGCTTACTGCGGCACTGTTAACAATAGCAAAGACTTGGAACCAACCCAAATGTCCATCAATGACAGACTGGATTAAGTAAATGTGGCACATATACACCATAGAATACTATGCAGCCATAAAAAATGATGAGTTCATGTCCTTTGCAGGGACATGGATGAAGCTGGAAACCATCATTCTGAGCAAACTATCACAAGGACAGAAAACCAAACCGCATGTTCTCACTCAGGTGGGAATGGAACAATGAGAACACCTGGACACAGGGCAGGGAACATCACACACCGGGGCCTGTTGTGGGGTAGGGGACTGGGGGAGGGATAGCATTAGGAGAAATACCTAACGTAAATAATGAGTTAATGGGTGCAGCAAACCAACATGGCACATGTATACCTATGTAACAGACATCCATGTTGTGCCCATGTACCCTATAACTTAAAGTAAAAAAAAAAAGAATTCTAGTAGGGAAGGGAAGGAGAGAGAATCAACAGACATTTCCTGGAAGGTATAGTAAGAAAGTTTTTTTTTCCTACAAAGGAGAAACTTGGGGTATGTTTTAGCGAATTGGGAAAGTAACGATATGTAGCATATTTCAAGATTCATTTTACTATTGAGATGGTAAAAGACGGTCTCAGATAAGAAGGAAAAACTCAATTTAATATCCTGGATACTTTCCTAATTTTAAAAAGTGTGCCTTGATGGAATATTTAAATCTATGCAGATTAATGGCATTCTTTCTTTATTTTTTTTCTTTTTTCTTTTTAGAGACAGAGTCTCGCTCTTTCACCCAGGCTGGAGTGCAGCGGTGCAATCATGGCTCAATGCAGCCTTAAACTCCTGGTCTCAAGTAATCCTCCTATCTCAGCCTTCAGGCACAAGCCACCATGTCCAGTCAATTTTTAAATTTTTGTAGAGATGGGGGTCTTGCTATGTTGCCCAGGCTGGTCTTGAGTTTTCTGGGCTCAAGTGATCCTCCTGCCTCAACCTCCCAAAGCACTGGGATTATAGTCATGAGCCACCATGCCTGGCCCTTTTTAATTAAGTGCTAAAAACTTGGTTTAGTGCTAGCTTAAGTATATCATAAAATGGGTAAGTAATCATAGCTACTAGCCTTATACTACCAGAAGCCTTGCCTTCTATGTTCATATTTTGTGAAATACATTTTTTCCAAATTAGACATATTTAAGACTTACCTGCTGATCAAACATCCTATGTTCTCTCTGGCCTGACTCCAGATCCTCTTCCGAAAGTGACACCAAAGAGTCAACCCGTTCCTCACCACCGAATGGGTGTCTGAGCTCTTTGGCATTTGCAGAGCTTACTTCTAGAGATGAGGATGGCTTGTTTCCGACACCAGCTCCTCCTGTCAAGCCTTCTAGACTGAAACTGAACACAGGGCACAAAAGTTAATTCATTCTATTTCTGGGTCTCAAAAACAGAGGAGGACACAAAATCCCTTTGGGTGTATCTCCCTTGTTCATGTATTATTTCTATGTCAGCTAGCAAAACTGTCTAAAAGGGCATAGCACAAAGAATACCACCTACCTTTCCTCCACAGATCTTGGAATACTGAGAAAGAATACTGCACTTAGATTTTCTTACCCCATTAAATTTATCCAAATGTTGAACCACCTAAGATCATTTCTCAGATATTTTTCAATATACTATACAGACAGACCATAGTTATCGGATACTTTATAAATGTTTTTCCTTGATCTAATTAATCTTTGTGAATCTAACTGTACTAATGCCAAGTAATTAAATCTCACAGAGAAAATATGAGCTTAAGTAACTTTCAGAAGGCAAACTGGGTAACTTGCCCTTATGTCCATTAAGTGGACCTTTATAATTTTACGTTCAAGTTGACCTTTATAATTTTACAGGTATGCTTTCACCCCAGAAAACCCAAGTGTTACTCATGAGTGTTACCATCTATTCTATGCACACCTGGCCAAACAACTGCTGACAGACTTCCCGAGAATTGTTAGTTGCAACAGGCACATATAACACCTTAATGAACAAATGCTGAAAAAGCAACCAGGTCTAATAGTAGAAAGAGCTGTAATTTTTTGCCTGGATATTGGTAAAGGGAACAAAGGCAATCAGGATTTGGCATTTTAAAGAGGATGCCTCCAAGAAAGATTATGTGGTTTGCAGAATGAAAAGCATTTTCAGTAAGCAGAAGGCTACAGAGACAGGTTAGTGATTTAACCTCCTTGGGTTACTAACTAGAATAATTCACATCTATTACAACTGCAGCGGAAACTTCTTTAAAATAACCAAGATCTCAAAACACAGCTGTAGCTGACGATGTTCTCAGCTAACAATGAGCTGGAATTCAATTGGAAGGTATACTAAAGCTACTCAGTTATCTCCACTCAAGGAAAACTGTACAGAAAATTGCTACAATTAAGTTCATACCTACCAGTCCAGGATTTGTATTTGCTTTTTAAATTATTTATTTATTTATTTATTTTGGTTTTGTAAATCACTTATTATGAAATGAAGCCATATATATCTCTATTTTCTCTAGTAGGTAAATTAAACAAGGGATATGTTTTTCTTACTTCAATATAATAGAAATCATGACTAACTACAAGTAAATGTCTCTGTAAACCTCATTTTCTTTCTTTTCCTTTTTTTTTTTTTTTTTGACACAGAGCCTCCCTCTGTTGCCCCGGCTGGAGTGCAGTGGCCTCATCTTGGCTCACTGCTACCTCCATCTCCTGGGTTCAAGTGGTTCTCCTGCCTCAGCCTCCCAAGTAGCTGAGATTACAGGTACCTGCTAGTGTGTCTGGCTAATTTTTGTATTTTTAGTAGAGACAGGGTTTCACCATGTTGGTCAGGCTGGTCTCAAATGCCTGACCTCAGGTAATCTGCCCACCTGAGCCTCCCAAAGTACTGGGATTACAGGTGTGAGCCATCACACCTGGCCTGTAAAACTCATTTTCAATACCAGGGATAAGAAGAGGGGCTAAGTGAAGAAGAAATTACTTGAAAAGCCTAAGAAAACCAGATCTATGCTTATTGCAAAAGTTAATCCTGAAAATGTTTTAGTAATCAAATCTGGCTGTTCAGTTGAGACAAGAATATGAAACGACGAGGAGTCTCCGAATTTGGAATCTACACAGATTGGTGGATTTAGAAGCATAATAGAAATCAGTACATCTTATTAGCTGCCTTGGTTCTTTGATTGTTTTATTCAGGATCCAAGAATTTCTAGGATCTGAAAATCAAGACAGGCCAAGACAGAGAGAGATAAATCTGTGCAGAAAACATCAAATCTATGGCCATTTGAGACATACAGGATGCATCACCTGACTCTTAGGCTGTATCCCCTCAGTTGAGTTAGTGACACCCATAGCAGAGGCAATGAAACGCTGTGCTCACAGACAAAGCAGGCTGGCCATATGCATCCCAGCCACACAGAAGCCAGCTCCAAGCCAAAAGCCCTGATGGCATATTTTATGGTTCCCCATTTGGTGGCTGGACACATAACAATATCATACCTTCTGTAATTAAGATCAGCACTTAGGCCAGCAGAGTACTGCACACCAGAGGGGCACCAGCTCATACTGGGGATGACATCAAAGACAGAAACAGAAATGCAGGGAGAAAAGAGGAAACAGGGATGGAGTTACTAGGTTTAAAAACGAAGGGCATAGTTAAGAGACAGACGGATTTATTTGTTCAACAAAAAATTTAGGAATGTAACACTGACAATTTTTAAAAAGGCTAGAATAAAAACCATAGAAACTTAAAAATGTTTTATTCTTGTCTAGATAGCACTGTGGAAAAGACTGTGGGTTCTTTACAGTATCACCAGTTCAACCTGAAACCCAAACATTCCTTCTAGTGAACCTGTGGCAACTACCTATGGCTCACTCTTCAGACATGAGAGGTGTTTCAAACTCCATCATTGGGAATAATCTCTCAGTACATCCCATACTCCCACATCACCCTTACCACAGTATCGCTAACCCTAGACTTTTTAAAAGAGACAGTGACAAACTGTGCTCTGGTGGACTCATGAAGTCATCAGTTTTTTTTTTTTTTCATGTGTTTCCATTATAGATCCAACCAAACCAGACAATTAATAGATTTTGCATAAGATACTTAGTCAACACTGGCATCCATCTTCAAACCCTACTCACTAGGCTACTATGTTAAAGATAAAGCATATAACACTGATTAAATATTTGCTTATATTTTAATGATAATGAAAACTCCCCCCCAAGATGGAGTTTCACTCTTGTTGCCCAGGCTGGAGTGTAATGGTGCGATCCTGGCTCACCGTAACCTCTGTCTCCCGGGTTCAAGTGATTCTCCTGCCTCAGCCTCCTGAGTAGCTGGGATTACAGGCATGTGCCACCACACCCAGCTAATTTTTTTTTTTTTTTTTTTTTAGTAGAGATGGGGTTTCACCATGTTGGTGAGGCTGGTCTTGAACTCCGGATCTCAAGTGATCCACCCACCTCAGTCTCCCAAAGTGCTGGGATTACAGGCTTGAGCCACTGCACCTGGCTGATAATAAAAATTTTTTAAAAAGGAATTCTATGGCACTAAGTTAGAAATGTATCTTTTAAATTTTAAGTTTGTATCCGTTTTTCCCAAAAGATTAAAAAAAAAATCCACCTGATCATCTACTTCCTTGAATATCCCAGTAGGGGTGTCTATTCTCAAGTAGCAGGGACAGAAAACGTGGGGTTGGAAATGCTAAGTAAACACCACTAGCTAAAGCAATAATCAATTCAAAATATTGTGTGCTCTATAAAGGAAACTGCATGGAAACGTCAGGATTTTTATTAACAAAAACTATCATTTAAAAAATACCCTGCTACCTGGGCCATAAAGTTCTAGGTGATTGTGCTTTTGTTTTCTGAGAAGAGATAAAAGCAGAGCTTGTGGACAACAATAAAACCACTCGGCTCCCTCCAGAATCTTGCAGATGGGAAGGCCTGGCACCAAAAAAATTAGATATATTGGATATATCTAATAACTTTGTTTTGTTGTCAAGTGGGGTTTTTGGCTGGAGAAAGGAGACAAGGAAAATGGTGGGAGGATGTAAGAGCTATCCCTATGGCTCTTTAAAAAAATCTTTACCATATCATTTAAAACTAAATAGTATAAAACATTTTAAATCAGATTAAATTAGTGGTATAAAGCTTACAAGTGCAGAAGCAGAAAGTAAAAATACAGTGGAGACACTTCACTGTTCTGGTAAGTGGGATGACACTGACACAATTTACTTGTGTGAGGAGAAGATATATATTTTACAAACACACATAAGACTCAGAAGTCCGTTCTTCGACATTATTAAATTTTAAATCGCCAGTTAATAAACAGGCATATTTTTACCTAAATATCCAACTTCTTTTTTTAGAAACAGAATGTGGCAAATCAGTAACTGAACATACACTGCCAAACCATCATTTTTAAAAATAATCTCCTTCTACAGATTTAAATGTTTCTTTACTTTCAGGATATGACAATGATGTGGAATACCGTGAAGAGATTTAACATGAAGAGAATGAAAAACGATAGGGAGGCAGGAAGACAAACATAATAGCTTTTTTTTTTTTTTTTTGAGACTCAGACTCATTCTGTCACCCAGGCTGGAGTGCAGTGGCACGATCTCAGCTCACTGTAACCTCTGCCTCCCGGGTTCAAGCAATTCTCCTGCCTCAGCCTCCTGAGTAGCTGGGATTGCAGGTGCGTGCCACCACACCTGGCTAATTTTTGTGCTTTTAGTAGAGATGAGGTTTCACCATGTTTCCCAGGCTGGTCTCAAACTCCTGGGCTCAAGCAATCCATCTGGCTCAGCCTCCCAAAGTGCTGGGATTACAGGCGTGAGCCACCGTGCTCAGCCAAGATGTAACAGCTTTTCTAAGGAACCAGGAAGGAAGCTGCAGATGGTCTACAATGTCTGCCCTTTCTGGTAACAGAAAACTCCTTTCATAATTAAGGGTATTTTTGAAAGCATCGTCATTTCCTCAATTAGTAGGGGTAATATTTAGCAGTTCTTTGGCTTTGAGATTTGGAAAGTTCTAGATTAAAAAAAAACAAATGTCCCTCCCCCTGCCTTATAATACTTGTTGTAATGTTTCAATTTTACAAAATTTTAAATTATACATTACATTCTTCCTACAAAAGTAAGTTTCACTAGGGATGAAACTGGCTGGAGTTGTTGATGACAGGCACATCTATACACTAACTCGGACTGCATCCAGCAATCTGTCGTCTCCCACTTTGTCATCAAGTGCCTGTTTTTAATAAGCTCATATTGAAAAGCTTTAATAAAGACCCAGACAAATGTACCTCTAAAGAACCTTCTACGGAAAAGCATTTAGTAGAGATGGGGTTAAAACTTGTTTAACAACTTATTTTCTGGAAGAACAATTTCATAGGAATCATGATTATCTGAAATTCATGAGAACATTTGAATTTAAGCTCAATTTCTTGCCTAAAATCTGGAATTAAACAAAGCATCCACTTGGAAAAGACAAAGTCGGAAAGATCACTGTTCGCCTACTTCCCAAAAAACAGGTTCAGCTAGTCGTTAAAAATACTTCTTTACAAATGTCTCCTAATATGAGAAACTGGCAGTAATATAACCCTAATTTTTGGACTTCTAAACGTTTTTCTAAACAATGGAAGAAAAGGTCACTAATGACTTCTAAAGAAAATCCAATGCAAAATTTGAAGCGAATTAGCAATCTGACTAGAAATTACTTCTCAGCTTAAAAATCATTTATTTTTAGCTTCAAAATATTACCTGACAAATACTAATTAAGGAATTCAAAGGCCAAGAGATGAACTTATACCTCTGATTTGCTTTAAGAAATGACTACATCCACAATGGAATGGAAAATGCCAGGTGGCCTAGTAATAAAGTCTTTCATTACATTATTAAAGAATGTGTTGACAATATTTCAGGGCCTATATACAAGCACACACACATTCCTGGTTTTTCTTTTGTGGAGAAGAAAAAAAATAGTACTCCCCAGGGTCCATTAAATAGGTACGACATAGCCAATTCTTCGAACTCTTCTAGAGAAAGCTGGGTGAGACCCTATTATCACAGTCATCTGAACACCAATAAGCACAAGATTGAAAAAATTAAAAATAATTTTTAAAAAAGATAAAATAGGATAAAACTGCAATTAAAGAAACCATTTCATATAAAATGGACATTGGCAATTAATAAGTACCTATATTTTATTTGCCTGAATTAGATGGGACATTACTTAAAAGTAGATGGTCCGATCATGGATTAAGCAGAATGAGATGCTTGTTAGTATACGCTCAGAGGTGACATGGTTAGTCCATCAAGTTAACGAACTCTGTACCTTCTCCTATGAATGGGAGGTCTCCTGACAACATCCCCAAGAGCTCGCATTGAACTGAAAATGAATGGTGAAGAGGTCAGTGTTGCAGATGAAACAAAATGGGATACAAATGCATGAAACATACAGACACCACACTGGGGAGAGAGACACTGCTCAAAGAGAAATGGCACAGGGAAGAGAATGAAGGAATGTGGAATGAGAAAAACATCAGGACAAAAAGGGACTGACAATTTCTGTGGAGGGCTACTTTGCTCCTCCCCTTGCTCCAAGGAGTTAATCAGATGGCAAAAGTTATGAAGTTTATTAAATTATTAAAGAATCAGAAAAAAATTACTACTCAAAGTTTTAAAGGGGGTTTTCTTAACACTTTAAAATTCAGGTTATACTACATGCAGGTAACACTATAAGAATTAGTCAAACTGATTAAAATCTCACTCTCATTCCATTATCTTCAGAGGTATTAGGACAATGGTCCTAGATAAGCCTCAGCAATAAATTCAAACAGGAGATCCCATGACATTATGCAGGACGAAAATAAGTAGAGTTCTAGTCTCAGTTCAGTACTAGACTGACTGTAAGACTTCATGTTTGTTTCTTAATTCAAAGCTGACATGAAACTACTGCCTCCAATATTTTATCATTCATAAGTTTCATTAATGTGGTAAGAATAAACGTTCCCATTTACTAAACACTCACTATATGACAATCACATTTCACTGTATTATTAAAAATAATAATGAAGGTATTTTACAGATGAGAAAATTAAAGCTTAGAGGGGTCAGGTCACTTGCCCAAGGTCATTTACATGGTAAATTATGGAGCTGGGGTCTGAACACAGATTTTCCTGATTCCAAAGCCTATATTCTTTCTTCTATACTATGGGGTCTCCTAAATTCTTTTACCAACAATAACACAAATCAGAAGCTTCTCAAAAGCAAGCACACACTGAGACACTAAACAAACTGCCTCCCATCTCACCTCCGGTGGTTCATTTCTGCATCGCTGGCTGCATTTTTCCCAGGCCCCCAGCTGTGCCTCCGGAAGGGGGAAAGAGAGCGCATGGAGCTCCTCAGGACAGAGCAGTTTGCAGGCACTTCAGTGATACTGTCCATCTCCTCCTCCTCCACGTCGCCTGGGTCAGCAGGCTCACTCTCACTTTCTCGACCCTCAGCTCCCATCCCATGGCTGTAGAATCCATCAAGGCTTTGCCGATCTCTTGACCTGTTCGGCTTTAAAATCTGGGAGAGAGACACATCACTGCCATGAGAAGAATGTTGGTCCAGTGAAGCCGTGTCATCGGTGGATGAACTGGATCCGGTGATATCACAGGTCAACTGCTCTTCCTCTGGCTGTAATGGAGAGAAAGCACATATGGTTGAAGCCAGCAGGGCCAATCAGATAGCCTCAGTTACTCTAGATCAAGCTAATGG